CGTGTGCGTGTTAATTGCTGTGTCCAGGCCTGGTCCTTCTTGATCAGACAACCCCCGTGGAGTTCTCCAAGAAGCCTCAACGTTCCCAAGAACACACCTGCAGCAGCCAAACAGCCAACCCACCCTGTCTCTTGCTCCCTCCTGGCCCGTGCTCTCTGCCCCAGCCCTGGAGCTGCTGGGTGGGGAGGAGGAGGCTGGTTGAAAGCGGGAGCCCCACAGGGCCCTGGAGCCAGCTCGAGCCTGTGGGGTGGGGAGCTCTGCTTGGAACTGGAGACTGGACCTGAGCTGGGCAGGACCCGGGTCCTCTGCTCCACACACTGGGCTGCTCTGGCACCCTAGCTGCAGGCGAGACCTGGGCGGGCAGCGGTGTGGCATGGTACCTCTGGGCGCAATTATTGGAGACCCACGTCCCCTACCGTTGGCAGAGCACCCAGTCAGGCGTTTGGGCCTTCCCCTGTGCCCGCTGGCTGGAGTTGGTGCTCCGTGATTCAGTGACAACTGTTTGAGTTAGGTAGTGAAATATACTCACCCAGAGAAGCTGCTTGCACCAGCCATAGTCACCGGATCTAAGGAGACGACAGGCAAGAGGCGCCTTGCAGGTCACAGGACCCATCGACAGCAGCGTCCACAGCCATCATCCCTGACCTGCCTGCGTGTTGTCCGCTGGTTCCATCTCAAGCTGGTGCCCCATCCCCGGCTCTGTCTGCTCCTATTTGTTTGTTTGTTCATTTACTGATGATTTGAGTTGGGGGTCTCACTCTGCCACCCAGGCTGGAGTGCAGTGGCACAATCAGGCTCACCACAGCATCACCCCCCTGGGCTCAGGCGATCCTTCTGCCTCAGCCTCCCGTGTAGCTGGGACTACAGGTGTGTCTCATCACACCCGTCTAATTTTAAAAATGTTTTTTGTAGAGACAACACCTCGCTATGTTGCCCAGACAGACCTTGAACTCCTGGGCTCAAGCGATCCTCCCTCCTGGGCCTCCCAAAGTGCTGGGATTCCAGGTGTGAGCCACTGTGTCCAGCTGTCTCTCCCTTCTGACCCTGCTCTTGCCCTTGGAGGCAGTGCCCATCTGCCCTTGACACTGGAACCCTGAGGTCTTCAGGGTGAACTCATGAGTTCGGCTCCCCCTCACGGCACCCTCCACTTCTCAGTTGAGGTCCCAGCACCCAATCCTCCACCCTGCCCGACAGAGAGAGACAGACGAGCCACACAGCACCGGTTCCCACGAGTATATTCTGCACATTCAAGCAAACTTCACCATGGCAAACAGTTGACGTGACACTCCTTTATTAAAACCTAAAGACGTCTTTATAAAAACTACTGTGTATAAAGACAAAAGCAGAGCAACAGCGGTCAGTGTAAAACACGTTATTATCATTACATTACATTATTATTATTATCAGGAATATTATTGGTTTTTGGTTTTTCCGGTTGTCAGCTCTGAGACACCCGACGCTTGCTCACACGAAGTCAGGGTTTACAGGAGAGAAAACGCTTCCGTCCCCCCATCCCCACCGCAGATGTGTCCATCTGACCCTGCGGGGTCTTTTGTGGGGAGGTTTCCTGCCTTGTTGAGGTGACCGGGCCCCTCACCCTGGCTGTCCCCACCTGCACCTCACCCAGACACACCGACTCATTGGTTATTTGACCGTGACGTGTCCCGCTAGCTTTAAAATAGGAAACAAGGAAGACACAGGAAAAAACAGGGTGTTAGAAACTGAGGTGCAGTCCCAGGAAGAGGCTCCCTCGGGCCACACCGGATGCCCATGGTGGCTGTGTCATCTGTAGGTTTTGCTCTCGTGCTCAGGCTTGGCTCTGACGGCAAGGAGTTTAGGGCCACTGAATACAGTACCTCATCGTGCGAGCCCAGGGGTCACCATTCTCAGTGTAGTCCACGCAAATGGTACCCCTGGGAGCCCCTTACCATTGATGTGACAGTGTGGTGAATGGTGCCTCCTGGAGGTGAGCACTGGAGCAGCCTTGAATTTGAATCAAGGGCAAATCGGTCAGGGTTTTGATGCGAGGAGAGAGGTTTTAGAGTGAAGAATGGTCCAATCTGCTCACCCACCAAGCATCTATCTAGCACCGACTGTCTGGCAAGGTCTTGGACTGGAAACTGGGGGTGAGGGAGGGAGCAGTGCCACCTCCGAGGTCACATGCATGGGCGGGACAGGCAAATGTTCCTTATTCATCTGAGCGTGTCCTACTGTGTGGCACAACTAGTCCTGACTGCCCACGTTGAACACTCGAGGCTTTTGGGCCACGGACCTCCAGGCTGGACACATTTGTCTAGGAAACATCCCATAATGTGCCCACACCGTGGGACTGGAGAGCCCTGGGTGGTGTCTGACACACAGCGAGTGTATGGATTTGTCTTCTGGGGGGCACAGGAATGACCCCAGCCCAGCAATGTATTCCTGGAATGTGAAGGGCTGTGACCAGGGCGACCCCTACTCACGGCGGCTCTGACCTTTCCAAGGGTCTGTGAGGATTAGGCGGCCACTGTCAGACGCTCGCCAGGGAAGCAGGATGACACGGTGACAAACCCCCGGAGTCCGCTTCTACTATCCCAACATGAGATTTTCACGGCAGTCCAGAGAGGGGTCCCCAGGGGCATCTCCCAGCGGGGACAGGGTTGTCCCTCAACATTTACAAGCAATGTCCCCAATAACTCGCTCAGGGATATAGGTCGATTTGGATGGTCGGGGACTCGGTAGATCTCCTTCTGAAGGGTCTCCCTGGTCCATCAGCCAAGGTGAAAAATGAAAAGAAACCCATGAAACCCCTCTTACAGTCTGCACCTCCGGGAATCCCGTGTTCTGATTCGGCCCAACCCCTAACAGACACGGCAAATGCACAGTCAGTGAGCTGGAGCAGGCACTGAGCAAGGACAGTGGCTGTGGGGATGGAAGGGGCCGGGCCACCGGGGCTGGAGCCAGGACCTGGTGGGGACAGCAGTCGTGCAGTCAGTGCTGGGTGCAGCCATACCCGCCATCCTGGTTGGTTTGGAGCTTTTGGGCGGACGGCAAACTGGGTACCATCTCTTGGCTGAAAAAGCCTATGAACCTCCATTCCTGGCCACACCCCCAAACCCTTCTTTCCAGCCTCGAGGCCAACCATGTTGGAATTTTTCTGATGATGAGAAATGCCACCCAGCCTAGAACACTACTAGCTGTCTCCTTGATGTTTTCTAAACCATCAGAGACAGCAAGGGGGGGCCAGACCTACCTGCAGAATCGTGCGTATGTGTGTGCCCACACGTGTGTACGCATGCCTGGTTGCATGTGCACATGCATGTGTGTGTGTGTGTGTGTGTGTGTGTGTGTGTGTGTTTGCATGTGTGCGTGTGTGTTGTCATTAAGGCCCATTGCACAATGGCAACGGTTGTTTTGGGTGCTGGCCTGGCAACTGGGGCTGGCCGGTGGGTGGGCAGGTTGTCTTCTACGTACCAGGCTATCATGGGGCCTACCATGGGGGCAGCGGGCTGGGGGCATTACCCACAAGTGGTTCTGGGTGGAGACTCCAAAACACACAGCAGTCACACCACACACACGCAAAGGGGAAGCATAAAACTGCTCATGAATCACACACCGTTCCCGGCGGGAACCAGACCTCAGACACCATGTCCTCAGAGGACACGCTAGTGTCATCTTCGCTGTTTGTTTTTCTTTTTGTATCGTCATCATTATTTTTACAAAGTACACGATGACGGACAGAAGCTCACACCCTGATTAAAAAATCAGGGGTGGGGGTCACTAAAAAACGAGAGCTCCACAAATCTACACTTGAACTTGTCATGACCCTGCATCCCCTTCTCAGGACACACGGCGAGCCACAGCCACAGTGGGATGGGGACAGTTTTCATCTGGGATCCCGCGAGGTCCCAGGGAGCCCCCGACACCGCCGGGGAACCGGACTACACACGGCCCCTTCCGCCCAGGGTGCCCACACCCACTCGACACCTCGGTGCATGCTGTGCTCACCCCCGACACCTCCGTGAGACATCAAGTGTCACGAGCTCCTGCGCCCCAGCTCCACACGCTTGCCAGGTGAGCAGAGGCTAGGAGAGGTTGAGCGGCTGGCCAAGGCCCCCCTACGAAGGAGCAGCGGAGCGGCTCTGTGCACTCTGCCACGGGCTGCCCGCATCAGGGGTGCCAGGGCTTGGTGAGCTCTGCTGAGCCGCACAGGCGCGAGGCCGACTGCTCACCACGAAATGTCCCAGTCCTCAGCCTGCGGCCCTAGAGGGCAGAGCAGCGGACAGCAAACCCCCGTGGGCTTGTTCAGTCATTCCTGGAAAGACCGCTGGTGGGGCCAGGAGGAAGTCCCCTCCTATCAGGTTGTCACCTCAAGGGATGCAGGTTGGGTGACCCCTAGTGCTGTCTACTGGGCAGGGACCTCTGACTCCAGCGTCCGGGAAGGGCAGCAAGGCCACCAGTTGCTTCTCTCTGCAAGTGGCTCCTCCGTGAACATCACCCAGGACTGCAAACCCTGAAGACCCGATCTGACTCCTTCCTCTTGCCGATGGGGAGACTGAGGCAGCGAGGGTACAGGCCTTGGCCCAGGTCACCCGCTCTCAGTGGCAGAGGTGACGTCGGACCTGGGTCTGGGGCCCTCCCCTACTCCCAAGGCACAGGGGGTGCAGGTGTGGGCTGCCCCAGCTGTGCGGATGAACCGCTGCACGTCTCCATGGCAACAAGGCCTGGGATGTGTCCTGGGATGACGCGCGGGGGAGGAAAAGGAAGTGGTGCCTGTTCCCGGTCAAGACCCCAAAGCAAAGGTGCCGTCATGTTGCCTCTGCCAAGCTATTGACCCGGACACCGCCATCCTATCAGGAGGAGATGGGCTGGACCCAGAGGCTGAAGCCAGTCCTGGGGCTTCCATAGTCTGCCTGGGTGACCTCAGGCAAGCCCCTGGGTTTCAGTCTCCTCGTCCATAAAATGGGGAGAGGCCCTTCTCTACGGGGCTGTTGAGAGGGTGAAGAGCCAGGCGGTATGGAAAGTTACGTCCCAGGAAGCTTGTTCTGCTTTATCCAAGATGGGGCATTGTGTTTGTGCAGCATGACGGTGACTCACAGTGAAGCCAGGGCCTGGATACTCTCACCCTCGTGTCCCTCTGCACCAGCTCTGGGTCCCAGCCACCCTGGCTTTCTTGGGGCTCCTTGAAACCACCAAGCCTGTTGCTGTCTCTGGGCCTTTGCACTCGCTGTTTTTTTCCCGCCTGGAATGCTTCTTCCCTGGCTTTTATGCCCATGGCTGGCTCCCGTATGCCATTCATCTCTGGGCTTACATGTCCCTTGCTCAGAAAGGCTCTTCCAGGCCACGCCAGGCCCACAAGGCCCTCACTAACGTGTCACGTTGACAGAATTCTTGGCAGAGTGCTCACCACTTTGCCATCCTTCTTCACTGTCCTGCCCCAGTCGGGAAGCCAGCACCGCAAGCAGGGACCTGTCTTGCTCTCTGTCATGTCTGGTGGGCAGATGGACAGTATGTGAGAACACTGGGTCCGATGAAATGAGGACACAGGATCAGAGGGGACGAGTGTTTACTGAGCAGAGCCCCTCAAGCTAAGAGCTAGGGGAGATTTTGGTGTCACTAACACTGGTGGAATGAGGGGGTCTACACTGGCAGTGTGGCCTTTGGGGGCCTATGTGATCATGGAGGTGACATCTTCCCATGTGTGCACCCCGGGCAACGGGGCAGGTGGTGGAGGTGGTGAGCTCTGTGGGTGGATGTTATGGGCATCCAGGTTTACATGGAAGTCCCACCTTATAAGGATGGATTTCTAGACCCTCTCCTCTGGGTTTCTGTAGGCCTCGTCATACTTTCCAGCAGAGAGCCATGTGTCTGTCTCTCCCTCCAGTTGGGAGCTCTCCAGGGGCACAGATGAGGTCGGGCTCATCGCTTGTCCCTGTCACTGCCCAGCACGGAGCCTGGCATGCAGTCGGTGCTTAACCAGAATGTGCTGAGTGGACAGGGGCTCCAGCAGTAATGGCGGGGAACTTGGGGAGGCGCTCCGGGTTTGTGCTGGGCGTGCCCTGGGCTGGGAAGCCTGTCACGTCCAGGGAACTGGAGCCTGGACTTTGGGCTCCTGTACCCCTGAGGTCAAGCCAAAGGGCTGGTCTCCTCCTGGCCATGGGACCGGGCACCCCTTCTCCAGGCTGAGCTGTTTCTGGAGGGGTCGATCACGCCCATCTCCCTGGTGGTGAGAGACATTGTGCACAAAAACACCTGACCTGATGCCTGCCCTGCGGTAGGCCCCAGATGATCCCTTAGGATTACTATTATTACAGGAGCGGATTCCATAAGAACCATCCCTGACTGGCACTTTCAAATCCTCAGGGCCTCCTGAGATGCAGAGGGGCTGTACCCTGTGCTTGGCCGACTCCCTGGTGCACAGCTGCTGGCTGCAGCAAGAAGCCTGAGCCCCAGACACTAACACTGATGAGAACCCCCAACACATGGGGTCGTGTGCTCATCAGAGAACGTGAGGGGGGAACCCCAATCAAAACCAACTTATCAAGCAAACAAACAGACATGAGCACCCCAAATCACACACGCATACACACGCACATTCAATATTCGGACACAAATAGGCCCAAGGGGCCACAATTGGAGGGAGTGGAGGCAAGGGAAGTTGGGGGTTTTAGACCACAGGCGTGACTCACAGGCCTGAATCCTTCTGGCTTGAGCCAGCCAGAGCAGCTTGGTGTTGGTCGCCACCTCTCAGAAGCCACCGGCCCAAAGTAGGACTATTGCTTGCAGACGGGTGGCTCAGAATCCCCTCCCCTGCACCCCAGCCCCTACCCCTGAGTTTGCTCCTAATCTCAGAAGTCCGTGGAAGGGGGTTCTGGGCACAGGCAGCATTTCCTCCCCTGCCACCGCCGCGGCTGCCTCGGTTCTCCCTGGCATCTCTGTAGAAGTTGTTCCTCTCGGAGGCTGCGCCGGGTGCTTCGGATCTCACCTCCCCAATCCTGAGGCACAGCAAAAGGGTTTTCTGGGGGAAGGAGAAGAAAACAAAATATCACATGATGTCTCCTCCATAGGGACTCACTGGGGGCATTTCTCTCGGGTCTCAGTGCCAGGAGAAGCTGAGTCTTCTCTGAGCACATGGTCTTTGTCTCTTGGACATTGTGAACCACATGACTTTAAGAAGCAAGACAAAAAAGTCTACTATCACTATGGCTCCACAGAGTACTAGAGTCCCAGCCCATGCAATAAGACAAGAAAAAAGCATAGAGTATCAGGATGGGAATAGAAGAATAAAAATCACACCTAATTGTGGATTATTTGTGTAGAAAATCTAACAACCGACAAACTAATTTGTGGAACAGAGAGTGCAGATATAATTTTCAATCTGTAAGAACATCAAATCAACTTATGAAACTCAACAGTGCTCATCTATGTCAGCAGCTACCAGGGTGATTACATGCCTTGGCTTGTGACAGTCCCAGTTAACACCTATTGTTCTGACATAATTTTTAATATTGTTCCCCCCTTTATCCTCAAAAGTATTCTGATTTGGATGATAAACCATATGGACATCCTTACTATAACAAACTAAAAAAAATTAAAAACAGATACAGACACAGAAACAAAAGTTATTATATATCCTGGAATCACACCAAGATATCATACAAAGCCATGGAGAGGAAACCAGAGTGCTCTTGGAACAGTAATGAGCCAGGAGACCAGTGGGACGAGATCTACTATGTAGAAACAGGACTGTGGGGCACTTGTAGCTTTGATTGGCAGAGTCAAGTTGCAGATAGGACAATGAGGAAAAGAAATACAAACACCAACTGTGGCAAGCTCCATGAATCCCTGTCACCTTCCTAGACTCCCTTGCAGACAGGAGTGGTCATGTGGGCTAGTCTACCCGATGCAAGTAGAAGTCTACTGGGAAGTAGACATGAGTAGGGGAAGATGGGAAGTCTTGTAAGCATGAGCATGAAGGACCTCACTAATGCAGGTAGGATGGAAGGCAGGGAGAAACTTGGTTCTGGTGGCACCCTGGACTGCCCACCTTCACCTCACTGCAGTGGGTATCTTCAACTTGCATCTGATGACAGTTCTTAATCAAGAAACAATCTTCAATCAAACTTCAATGCCCATTAGCAAAGCAAGCACAGAGGTCAAGGGAGGGGCTCAAACAAAGCCAGAAAAGCCCACCTCTCCCAAACGAGTGATGTGCCAATTAGCAGAGCCAGCTAGCCACTCTATGCATGGGTGGGGACATGTGCATGCACTAAGGGTGGGAGATTCCATGGAGTCATCTCCTCTGCTTCACAGAACAAAGCCTGGTCCAAGTAATCACCAACCACTGCTATATTTTCCTCCTTAGCACATATCTCTATCTCTATCCAGCAAAGCACATATTCTCCTTTCTTCTTGACTAGTTTATTGTTTGTCTTCCCCAACTAGAAAGTTATCTACAAAAGGGTCAAGGTGACGGTGTGTTTTGCTCATTGTTGTATTGCTAGGGTCTAGAACAGTAACTAGCACACAGCAGGGACTTAATACATAGTTGTTGAATGAATGAATGAACCAAGAATTTAAAGTCCAGATGAACCATCTTTCACGTATAAAGTCAACAGAAAAACTTGTTGAACATATGTTTGAATTAGAGTTCCCACAAGACCTTCTTAAATAATTTCTAGGAGACACAATTAGACAAACCAAGGGGTAAATGGAGCACTGGCTATGAGCCCAGAATCTCATGTTTACCTGTAGGACTGTCTGAAGCAATGCTAAAGATTGTGACTATCACAGAAAAGGACGAACCAGGAACAGGGAGCTGATATAAATAATAAGTAGGAGGGGAGGAGGTGAGAAGGAGGGAGGTCATATAAGTAACCCGTGCCTTATTCACTTATGGTTGGATGTCTAAAGAATTGCTTAGAAATTTAAATAGAATCAGAGGAACAAAGGCAAACAGAAAAAATAATATAAGCAATAATCTGATGGAAGGAAGCAAGGGAAGGGGCAGCAGAAATAGTGTAGCTTTGACATTGTACGCAGCAGGGAGAAAACAAGCATTGTCTAAAGAAATAGAGGATTAAGGGTATCATGTCACATTATAATTATGAAGATAACCACAGGATCAAAAACGCAGCTTTCCAAACCACCAGAAGACATATATGTCTACAAAAAATAAGACAAAGGAAACAGAGAACATATGGTGAAAACTACAAAACCTATAAAAGCAGAAAGCATATCATAAACCAAGCCCAAGTGTATCGGCCATATCAGTAAATGTTAATGAGCCACACACCCTTGTTAAAAAAAAAAAAAAAAGAGCCGGGCTCGGTGGCTCAGCCTGTCATCCTGCGCCTTTGGGAGGCTGAGGTGAGTGGATTGCCTGAGCCTGCGGGTTCGAGACCCGCCTGGGCAGCGAGACCTCATCTCTACAATAAATCAAAAAATCAGCCGGGTGTGGTATCGCATGCCTGTAATGCCGGCCACTTGGAAGGCTGAGGCGGAAGGATCGCCGGAGCCCAGCAGGTCGAGGCTGCGGGGGCCGGGAGCGGCCACTGCACTCCAATCTGGGTGACAGAGTGAGACTCCAACTCAAAAAAAAAAAAAAAGAAAAAAAGAAAAGACTCAGACTGGATCGCAAACTAAATGCACTGAAGGTAAAGTGAGGCAGAAAGGTTTAATATAAAAGGATAGACCGATGATTTTTAAAAGTTCTGCAGGTAGATGAAGGTGACAGTTGTACTACAGTGTGAATGTACTTAATGCCACTAAACTGTACACTTAAAAATGGTTAAGATGGCACATTTTATGCAATGTGCATTTTATCACACTGGAAAAAGTGGGCAGAAGTATAGCAAACAAATTCAAACCAAGAGAAACCAGGGGTCGGGATCTGAATATCAGACAAAGCTGAAGTCGGGGCAAGGAATACTGAATGAGGAAAAAAAGGGCACTTAGTGAGGATCAAGGATAGGAGTCACCACAAAGATCTAACAGTCATGAATACTTATGCACCAAATAACATAGCCTCAATATTCAGAAAGCAAGCACTGCTGGAAATTTAGGGAGAAAAAGACAAAGTTTGCCAGTATTAATACATTTCGTTTTTCTGTCGATTACAGACGAAGTTGGTAAAAACATAAATAAGGAAATGAGCCTAATCATCTAAATAACAACAATGTGTGTATGTGGGTGTATTTGTGTGTGTGTGCCTTCTATCCAAATGATCTTGAAAATGCACACACACAAAATGACTAGATGACTAGCAGACTACAAAGGAAATAAATTCCAAAGAGTAGAAAAAGACAAATGTCTCTGGTCACAATATACTAAAATTTGAAAGTATTAATAACAAAAAAAAAACCCACAAGACAAAACTCTACCACCACGAAGCTTATAAACTCTTTAAAATAACTTTTGAGTCAAAGAGAACAAAAACCAACATTGCGAATATCTAGACAATCACAAAAATATAAAATATTAGCCGAGCTCGGTGGCTCAGCCTGTAATCCCGTGCTTTGGGAGGCTGAGCTGACTGGATTGCCTGAGCCTGCGGGTTAAGATCCACCTGGGCAACTTGGCGAGACCTCATCTCTACAATAAATCAAAAAAATTAGTTTGGTGTGGTAGCGCATGCCTGTAGTTCCAGCTACTAGGAAGGCTGAGGTGGAAGGATCACTGGAGCCCAGCAGGTCGAGGCCACTGCACTCCAGTCTGGGTGACAGAGTGAGACTCTCTCTCACACACACACACACACACACACACACACACACACACACACACACACACAAAATATATATATATATATATATATATAATATTTCAGAACCTGAGCTAAGGCTCAGAGGAAAATTTATAGCCTCAAAAATGCCACTTTTCTTAATAACTTAGAAAACATGAATTAACTATCCATAAGTTTCCCCCAAAAGAAAGACAAAATAAACCCAAGAAAGACGTAGAAGAGCAATACATAAAACTAAAATAGAGTTAAAAACACCAAAAGGAAGGAATTAATAAATAATTTCAACACTGGTTCTTTGAAAAACAATGAGACATGTTGACTGTTGGGAATCGAATAAAGCAGAAGATATAGGGCCTAAAAGCGGAATGTGATTTCTTGGAAGGATTATCGGTACTTTTGCTCTTCAAATTAACTTTTTGTTGCTCCTGACAGGCTTTTGCTCCAGCTTCTCTGCAGCATTTGGCCTTGTCAAGGTCACCAAGGGCCTCTGTGTTGGCAAATCTAGTGGTCAATCCTCAGTCCTCTTTTCACTTGTCCTCTCAGCGGCATTGACTCAAGTGATCACTCCTCTGGCTTCCAGAACACTCCAGCCCCCTCTCCTAGTTCTCCTGTTTCCCTGACTACTTCAGCTCAGGCCCTCTGCTAGCTCTTCCCATCTTCCCTGCCTTATACTCACCCCTGAGGATCTTATCTCCTGCCAAGGGTTTAAACACTACCTGTATGTTGATGGCTCTCCAGTCTTAAACTCTCCCCTAAACTCCGTGCTTATGGCTAGACTGTCTGCTGCCATCACCAAGTGGATATTTCAGACATTTCAACCTTAACATGCTCCGCACTAAAAGCCCAATCTTCCTTCCCAAACCAGCTTTTCCCACAGTTTTCCCAACCTCAGTAAATTCAGCTCTATGTGACCAGTTGCTCATGTTGGAGGCCCAGAGTCATCTTCACCTCCACCCCACCCCCAAATCCAACCAAGAGGCAAATCCCATTGGCCCTTCCTGAGAGATATGTCAAGAAACCTGGCCATTCCTGCTGCCTCTACGGCTCCTACCGGGGTCCGAGCCAGCAAGATTCCCACAGTGGCCTCTTCATAGTCAACCCTTTCCCTCTGGTCTCGACACAGCAGCCAGAAGGGTCCTGTGAAAACCCAAGTCCGATCACGTCTCCCCTCTGCTCCAAACCCCTCAGAGGCTCCCATTCACTGAGAGGAGGAGCTGAAGACCCTTCTGCTCCATCTCCTCTTTGTTGTTGTTTTTTTCTTTCTCTTCTTCCTTTCA